TATATATATATATATATATATACATATATAAACTCATGTCCAATGAGTTGATCTTGATTCATGGCATCTGTTATAGAGTAGAACTTTTCCATAATGTTTTCTTGGCTGTGTCTTTCCGGAATCAGATTGCCAGGACTTTCTTCTGAAGTGCCACTGGGTAAGCTCAAACCATTGACCTTTAGGTTAGTAGTTGAACACATTCTGTGCCACCTGCGGTGACCATAAGTCAGAAATGACTTGATGGCTCCTCCTGTAGGCCATGGAAATGTGTTTCCAGTACCTTGCAGGGGTCAGTCTCAGTGTTAGCAATCTTCCAAGAGCACCATCCTGATCTTGCCTCTCCCCTCCTCAAGACATCTTTCATATTCCTCATTCAAAGGGCTGACCACTTTCAGACTCCTACACCAGCTAGTTTCAAGTGATTTCCCAGCCTCCTTTCACACCTTCTTCATCAGCTTCTGTTCCCATCATACATACCCCTCCACCTTCCCCAAGCACACTTTCCACTTACCCATCTGCTTTTTCTCCCTCCCCTTTCCACCTCCACCTTCCAGGAAACTTCTCCTAACTCCTATGCAAATGAGCCTCACCCTGTCTAACTCCCACAGCTCTCTGTTTATGCTCCCTTTAGCTTCTGTTCACTCCTGGGCATTACTGGACTTCCTTTGACTTATCTGACTCCCTTTTCCCAAGGTATGAGCTCACTGAGCAGAGTGAACCATTTGTGTTTCATCACTCTTGTGTCCTGGTGCCAGGCATTGTGCCCAACACACCACAGGGCTTAGATGATTCTGGTGCAGAAAATATCCAGGACCTTAAATGCACATTTTCTTTTTGCTCCATCTCATCTTCCACAAAGGCCTGAAAACAGGCCAGAAGGTCATCCTGGCCTGGGGATGATAAACCTTTCCCAGAAGCTGTCCTGGGAGACAAAGTCCAGGACAAGCAAATATAGATCAGTGAGGCCTCTGGGCCCCCACACCTTATCAGGGTCACAGTAGCCTGACATCCCACTGGGACCATGGAGTGGACTAACAAGGGGCTGTGTTTGCCCCGACGTGCTGTGTGGCTTGTGGAGAACCAAGATGGTTTGGGCATAAAAATTAAGAAACTGCAAGTATAAGAGAGGTCTCTGGGGACCCTCTCTCTGGGGTCTTTGACTCCGCTTCTCCTTTCTTCCTCACAATGCAGAAGGTGTTCTTGTCATTACGTGATGATTAGGACCTGGGCTTTGGAATCTGAGACATCTGGGTTTAAGTCCCTACTCTGAATTTTTTGGGGCCAAAGAGTAGGATGCTATGGATTGAACTGTGTCCAAATATATATATATAGAGAGAGGTATTGGAGTCCTGACCCCTATACCTGTGGATGTAAACCTATTTGGAAATAGGATTTTCTTTATCATGTTAATGAAGCCATCAGTGTAGGGTGTGCCCTAAACCTAATCACTTCTTCATGATATAAAGAATAGCATAGACATAGAGACCTGCAAGCACAGTTGGGGAAAAGATAGCTGGATCGTGGAGATGGCCAAGGAACCAAGGAGTGCTGGGGCTAGAGGAGCCCTAACAGCCTAGAGAAGCTTCAGAGCAGACAGAGAGAGAGCCTTCCCTTGGAGGCAGTACCCTGAAACTGAGTTTCTAGCTTCTCAGAAATACTATGAGGATAAAATTAGGCAATAAATGGCTTACAATGATGTATGACACTTTTGTTGTCATTGTTATTTTGCCGTCGAGTCAGACCTGACTCATAGTGACCCCTCCTTGGGTTTATGAGGCAGTATCACTATGGAAATAGATTGCCCAATCATCCTTCCCAGGAGTGGCTGGTGGGTTTGAACCGCCAGCCTTCTGGTTAGCAGTCAAATGCCTTAGACACTACACCACCAGAGCTCCCTATCAGCTCTCAACTATGAAAGCATCTTTCATCTTTATCTCTTTACTGGCCAGGCATCCCTGCTCAGGTAGAATTTCTTTCCAAATCTGGACAAGAAGGTCCAGTGAGATGAAGCAATTGGCCTAAGGCATGAGTCACCCATTACACCTCCCCTCGACTCCCTCCCTCCGGAAGAAATGTTGCTGCGGTTAGCACTGTCAGAAACATCGGCACTGGTGGAAGCCATGGCACTTTCTAAGCCACAGTATCTGCCTCCCTGGCCAAAGCATGACAGTCTGAAAAGTTTGTTGTTGCTTAAGGAATTTTGAAAGAAATGCTTCATGAAGTTCTGACATCCATTTTTAAATATGGCTCCTTGCCACCTGTCACCATATTGCTGGTGTCGTCTTGTGCCAGCCCTGAGGGGTCCCACAGGATTAGATGAACCAGTGGGGTTTTCACTGTTCACATTGGCTGATATTGTTCTACACAGAGGGGCACAGTCTGGAGTCTGATTAAGAATTTACAAAGCCTAGAGCTGGGGAGAAAGTTTTCACATCCAATTTTTGATTCCCAATATTGTGACATTTGCCCTCACCTTGTCTAATGTTTAATCCATGTTTATCTAGCACATTATCGATTACTGGTCTGAGTGAAGTGACAGGGCAGTGGGAGCCTCAAGATCATGGACAGAGCCATGGGGCTGCGGGGGCTGCTGTGCACGTACCTGGCATCTTTCCTCACCCTGCAGGCTTTGCCTGCTTGGGGTTCCACCACAGGCAGGACCAGGGGCAGTGAGGTATGTTGCTAAGCCTGTGGGGCAGAAACAGGCAGCTGGGATTATAGGGAGCCCCGGAGAAGACACAAGTCTACCACCTCAGGGGGCAGAGTCGTCCTCGTCCACCTTGATCATCCCTGAAGGGATAGGTGACCTCCCACCAGCATTGAGAAGGCAAGACTAGAGGGGCAGAGAACACCGGCTGGCTTCCACTCTCATCCCTTAAAAGATAGGCTGTGGTCTTCTGAGCCTTCAAGCTCACACTTGATTTTGTTTTTGCAGAAGCGACAGGCTATGGACACAGTAAGAGTCTTGGCAAAGGGGTCTGTGAGGGTGCTGTTATTACATCCCTGTTTTCCTCTAGGCCTCCAGGAGTGCCCCCCTCTGTCAGTGCCATGGACTTTTTTCCACCCATATTGCCTGCCCTCCCTATGCCTTACATGGCCTCTGCAGGGAGAATGATCTTCCCGGGAGGCCTAGTCTACTCTTCTGGTGTTTCAGCACCTTGTCAAGGGGGAACTCTTATTGGATCAGAAGCCCCATATCAGTCTGTAGCTCCCTCATGTCTCATTTTAGGTGGATGGTGTAGTCATCCGGCGTATGAAAATCAACTGCAAAGTCACCTCTCGCTTTGCCCACTATGTCATCACCAGCCAAGTGGTCAACAATGCCGACGAGGCCAAGGAAGTGGCCTTTGATGTAGAAATCCCCAAGACCGCCTTCATCAGTGACTTTGCCATGTGTGTGTCCTACTCAACTCCTAGACCCCGTCCCAGCCCACACTCCCTAGAAGTGTCCATTCTCCATGTTCCAGCCTGAGACTGTGGCTCAGTGTACCCAGACAGTGCAGACCATCTCTTCATGTCCAAAAAAACCACAGGTCAGGCCCTGCTTTGAGCAAAGGAAGAAGCCCTTTTAGGTCTGGTCTTGGCTCCTAGCTTGGAAAACAAACTGTAGCCTGAGAGAGTAGGTTTTCTGCCCAGGACAGAAGGATCAAAGGCCAGGATCAAGGGTTTCTTACTGAATTTTGGGGGATAAAAGAGTTCATTGACTATGGCTACCCACTCACTGCTGAAGTCCCCCTGAGCATCACTGTTGGCAGTGGGAGTTAGATCAGGGGACACCTTCTTGTAAGTGCTAGCATGGACAGGGGGCTCTCTAGGTCTAGGCTCTGAGGAAGACCTGTGTGCTCAAAGAGGGGTCACTTTCCCTGAGGACCTTCTTCCTTCCCTGTAGCACAGCGGATGGAAATGCATTTGTTGGAAACATCAAGGACAAAACAACTGCATGGAAGCAGTACCGGAAAGCTGCCATCTCAGGAGAGAATGCTGGCCTTGTCAGGTGAGTTCTGGGACTTGCTAGCCCAGAGTCTGGGATTGGCTTCCCCAGCCCACCCCAGCTGAGGGCTGCAATGTGGCCTGGGGTGCAGAGCAGCCCCAGGCTGATGGGAGAGTGAGCAAACCAAACCACCAGCCCTGGATGCCAGCATGGGTACATGGACAAGGTTGGTGGGCAATGGCCTCCTCCCAGGTCAACCTCAGGGAGAGGTCCTGACCCTAAGCAGCCAGCTGAGGCAAGGCTGAAGGCCAAGGAAACCTAGGAGCATGACCTAAAGTAAGATATTGTCTGAAGGCTGTGCTGCAGGTGACAAGGACCCAGGTATCATTTACTGTCCGTCTGTCTGTCATTGCCTCTGTGGAGTATCTAGGGCCTCAGGAAGAAATATGGAGCGGTTCACCATCCACATTACCATCAGTCCCCGGAGCAAGGCCATATTCCAGCTGACCTACGAGGAGGTGCTGAAGCGGAAACTTGGGCAGTATGACATTGTCATCAAAGTCAAGCCCAAGCAGCTGGTGCAGAATTTTGAGGTAGATCATAGGAGACCCACACACAGTGAAGTGGTCCCAGAAGGGGCCTCCTTCTCTCTCACCATGGCTCTGAGCTCTGGTTAGCACCCACCATGTGCCAGCACTGGCCTCAGCTTAGGGGATGGATGGACTCCTCTGGGTGGGTTCCAATGGGCTCTTCTTAGACAAGGAATCCTCTAACCTCCTCCTCCTCTCTCTCTAACCCTTGGTTTTCTCATCAGTTAAATATAAGTTTCCTGAAACATCTCAGAACTGCCCCAAAGATCACAAGAGATACTGAATGTCCAGATAGTGTATAAACCAGAAAGTTCCTGGGCACCTGTGACTGCCACTGGCACCTACATGGTGACTGAGCTGAGGGTGCAGCCATGCACCCCTTCATTTAGCAAAGGTGTTGGGAGTGCCTATAATATGCCAGGCCTATACTGAGGCAGGGTGTGTGCTGCACACAGTAGGTAGACAGGATACACGTTGGCTATTGACTAAGACTTGATGATGGCCTGAATGAGAGCCTTGATACAGGACTTGCTTCAATGTTGCAGATTGAAGTGGACATCTTTGAGCCCCAGGGGATCAGGAAGCTGGATGCCCAGGCCTCCTTCCTCCCCAAGCACCAGGCCCAAACCATCAAGAAGTCCTTTTCAGGGAAAAAGGTACATAGGGTGGTTGGGAATGGTGGCAAGCCCTTGGGCTTTCCTAGCCTGGTCCAACACCTCAGGGACTGTCCAAACTTGGCCCAGGAACCAGGCAAGGCTGATTGGTGTCTCAGGGGACCTCAGCACACCTGATTCTCAGGGCAATTAGGAAAAGCCTGCAAACAGAGTTTGGAGAAGGTACCTGCTCCGGCTCCACCATTCACTGGCTGCAGGTTTGAGGAGAGTTGCTGGCCCATCTGAGCTTCACACTCATGGCAAAACATGCAGGGAAATGAATGCATATAAGCAACTTTGGAGACCCTGGGTGGTGCAAACGGTTAACACACCTGGCTGCTAACCGAAAGGTTGGAGGTTTGAGTCCATCCAGAGGGACTTTGGAAGAAAGCCTGGGTGATCCACTGCTGAAGTAAATCAGCCACTGAAAACTCTATGGAGCGCAAGTTCTGCTCTTACATGCATGGAGTGACCATGCGTTGGAAGCAACTCGACAGTAACAGGTTTTGGTTTAAGCAAATCTCAGACTCTCTTGCGGTTAAAAACTCCCAAGTTTCCATTTTCATGGAAACATGAATAAACTTGGAAAGGCTTTTGACCTAACCCTGAGCCTTTAAATACATCTGCAGGGACTTCCAAGGCCCCAGCAGGCCCCTCCCCAGGCCCTGGAGGAGTGTGGGGTAGGGGTGAGTCACAGCTAGTGCCTCCCTTGCTAGCTCATCCTCAACCCAAGCCAGGAGCAAATAAATCCTTTAGTTCCTGTCTACCTTGGATACCAATTCACTTAAAAGAAATAGTTTTTACAGGGTTTTTTTTTTTTTTTTTGGCGAGGCAGCAGGTGCGGGGAGAGGGCTAGAGAGTGTTCCTCTACTTTCAACAAAATATGACACCTCAGAGTGTTCCAAACATGCTTGCTTTCATAGTCTTTGTCTTTCTAACAATTCAAGTTTTCTTTGATGAGCACATCTTATTTTTGTAACAAACAAAAAGTGAAAGTAAAAACATGTTTAAAGAAAATGTGTCAAGTACAGAAGTCTAGGAAAGTATAGACTAAAAACCATACCTAGCTTCCCTGAGCACCAGTGAGCACCAGGACCACCTCAAGTCAGACTTCAGCTTCCTATCTGGGCCTTTCCTTCTGCTCTTGGCTCTTTCTCTAGGTCAGGAGCAGGGGGCGCCCAGGTTCTAGGTGAGTTTTATTTTCTAATACAGTTTTGTAGCCTTGCTTTTTTATTTGACAGTTTTGGTTGACTAATGTCCTCAGGATATCATACTGCTACTATTTTGTTCTTATTTATGTACCTAAGTGGTGATACGTATTATAGAAAATCCCAACTATTTCAATTCACACAAGCAAAGAAACAGGAGCTCTGGCGACGTAGTGCCTAAGGCACTTGACTGCTAACCAGAAGGCTGGCAGGTCAAACCCACCAACCACTCCTCAGAAGGAAGGTTGGGCAATCTACTTCCATAGTGATACCTACCACCTCAGAAACCCAATGAGGGGTCGCTATGAGTCAGATATGACTCAATGGCAGTGTGGTTGGTTTTTGGCTTTTGGAAACAAAGAAACAGACTTTCTCTCCTGCCATCTGCAGATGTGCACTCTGAGCACTGCTTGGGGGCCCATCAGGTTCATTTCGAAGGCCATGCAGACACACACATTCACACATATCTTCTATGGTGCCTTTGCAAACATCCTGTTTGCAGTTGCATGAAGCAGTACGTAACCTCACCTCTTTGGTGGTACCAGGGTCACGTGCTTTTCCGCCCTACCGTGAGTCAGCAGCAGTCCTGCCCCACGTGCTCCACAACTTTGCTGAATGGGGACTTCAGGGTGACCTACGATGTCAATCGAGAAAAGATCTGTGACCTTCTGGTGAGCCTGATGCTTAGGGCCCAAGAACCAATGGTAGTCAAGGGGTGCTGGGAGGAGAGGCCCCATTCATCCCCCTGTGCTTGTTTCAGGTTGCCAATAATTACTTTGCCCACTTCTTGGCACCCCAAAACCTGACTAACCTGAACAAGAACCTGGTTTTTGTGATTGATGTCAGTGGCTCCATGCAAGGCCAGAAAGAGAAGCAGGTAACCCATGGCTTAAACAGTTCACCCAGTGGGGACTTCTTCAGTCCCATCTCCCACCCCACATTGGCTTTGCCACCATGGTCTGGGTTTGGGATTTCTGTTCTTGGTTGGAGGCGAGTGATTTACCAGGAAATCCCAGTGGGTAGGGGCCTTGGAATCACCACCATGTCCTCATTATGCAACCTTGGGCAAGTGCATTCGCCCCTCCCCAATGGCAGAAATGGGAAGGATAACAATGCCCACAGGACCAAGGGGTTTATGAATGGGCATTTCACCTTGGGAGGTGAAATGTCTACACTACAAGTGCAGAGTATAAGTATGGGGGCTACGAGGAGCCTGCAGGTGTCTAAGTGGTCCATCCATGTGGTTCATCCAGTGAACCACAGCTGGTCAAGCAGAGTTTCAGAAACACAGCCTCCCGGGGTCCTTTTGCTTAATCCTACCCCACCTGGACTCCTGCTCATTTCTTCTCCCTATGCTGGGTCCCTTTGTCTTCTCCATCCCCCTCACCTGCTTCAGCCCCAGCAGGAGGCTCCTCTCCTGGGGCTCCATGGCTGCCCTATTCATTTCTTCCTGCTTGTGTGTCATGTCTCATTGTCCTGTGGGTTCCTGAACCTGGGGCACCCTGGGGACATGTCCCTCCACTGACTGTCTTGTTCTTGTAGACCAAGGAGGCTCTCCTTAAAATCCTTGGGGATATGCGGCCAGACGACTACTTTGACCTGGTTCTCTTTGGGTCTCAAGTGCAGTCATGGAGGGGCTCACTGGTGCAGGCATCAGCCACCAATCTGCAAGCGGCACGCAACTTCGTGGAGCGCTTCTCTGTGGCTGGGGGTAAGAGCGAGTGTTTTGGGCCACTGCAGTGTGATGGCATCTGTCCCCTCAAAATGGGGATGATGCTGGTCTGCTCTCTTTCTCTTTTGTAGCCACAAATCTGAATGGAGGTTTGCTCCAGGGAATTGAGATCTTGAACAGAGCTCAGGAGAGCTTTCCAGCACACAGCAATCATGCCTCTATTCTCATCATGTTGACAGATGGCGAGCCCACCGAGGGTAAGAATCTTGAAGGCTGCACTGGGAGGTGCCTTGGTATTGGAGGCATTCAAGATGAGGTTGCAGTAGGGGAGGGGGGAAAGAAAGGCTTATGGTAAAGTCAAGCACCGGTTTAGAAACCTGCTTCAGACCACAGAGTCTCTGGGAGCACCAAAGCGCACTTCTGTGCTGTGAGTTGGAAACTTGGTGGCCCAGGACTGCATGGGGCACTGGAGGACAGGCTGGATTCCTAGACTAAGTTTCATGAACTGTTTATTGAGTGCTTACTGTGTGCCAAGGACAGGGTAGGGACCAAGAGGAGTGACCAAGAGAATGAGATATATCTCTGATCTCAAGCAGCCTAGGATCTACTAGGGGAGGCAGACTCAGGAGCAGACATGCTATTGAGAATCCTGAAAGAACAGGATGCCAGGGGCCAATGGGACCACAGACAGCTCCTGGATGACCTCTGGGAGAAGGTGACCCTGAGCGCAGTCTGGAAGAAAGAGAGGAGTGGCGGGAAGGGACCTAAGGCAAAAGGGGCAACATGAATAAAAGCCAGGAGCTGTGCAGGGCAGCGTGTGCAGACTGGCGTGGACAAGGGTGGAAAGGTCAGCAAAGCCTTACAGGCCATGACAGGGAGCTAAGTCAGATCAGCTCGTGACTGATCCACATGGAGGGCAGGCCCTGTCTGCGAGGGCCCCTGGTAGAAGCTGTTGTTGCCCAGGTGAGCCAGGAGGAGGTGTCGCCTCGAGATGGCCATGGGGATTGGAGATAGTCTGGGTCTGAGATGGAGGCAGATTCTAGGGAGTGTGCCCCAAAGCCCCTTTGTGCCCCACATGCCTGTGGGCAAGGCTCCTGTCACTGCCCGGGTATGTGGCCGCAGGGGAGACGAACCATTACCAAATTCGTGAGAACATCCGCAACGCCATCCGGGGCAGGTTCCCACTCTACAACCTGGGCTTCGGCAACAAAGTGGACTTCAACTTCCTGGAGGCCATGTCTATGGAGAACAACGGGCGGGCTCAGAGAATCTATGAGGATCGTGATGCCACCCAGCAACTGAAGGTTATATCCTCCTGCTAAACACACATATGCACAAGCACACACATACACTGACAACGCCATGCTATGGGGGGTCCCGCCTTGGAGGCCATCTGGCCTCCAGCAAGTGGCCTGAATCAGATGTGTGATCTTGAAACTATTTCTTTTCTTTCTTCTTCTTCTTCTTCTTCTTTTTTTTTTTTTTAATTGTGATTTGGGTGAAAGTTTATAGAGCAAATTGGTTTTCCATTAAAAAACCATACACATTCTGCTTTGCAATTCACCGCAATCCCCACATTCTTCTTCCCTGCACCTACCCCTTCCCTTTATTTATCCCATCCCACCTTCCTAGCTCTATCCCTGGGCAAATGCTGTCCTCTTGATCTCATATGCTTTATTGTTCTAATGAAGGCATACCCTCCTGGTATTACTGTTCTCCCTACAGGCCTATCTACTATTTGGCTGAAAGTTGAGTCACAGAGGTTAAGTTAAGTTCCTATCTTGAGGGGTGTCTAAGGGCCATAGTCTTGGGGGTTCCACCAGTCTTCATCAGACCAGGAAGCCTGTTTTTTTGTGTGTGTGATTTTGAGTTTTGTTCCATATTTCCCCCCTCTTTATCCAAGACCTCTTGTCGTGACCTCTTTCAGAGTAGTCAGTAGTGGTAGCAGGGCACCATCTAGTTCTTCTGGTCTCAGGCTCATGAGGCTGGGGTTCACATGCTCCATTAGTCCTTTGGACTAATTGTTTCCTTGTGTTTTTCATTTTCTTCACTCTTCTTTGCTCTGGACAGGGAGACACCAATAGCTGCACCTTAGATGGCTGCTCACAAGTTTTTAAGACCCCAGTCACTACTTACCAAAGTAGGATGCAGAGCAAAATAGGATGTGGATCATGTTATACTAATTGACCTTAGTGTCCTCCAAGACTATTGTCCTGAGCTCCCATGGCCAGTGACTCATTCCTTCAAGGTGTTTGGTTATGATTAAGAGATTTTCATAACTTTGGCCTCTGTATGCTTTACTGTATTCATGGATATATTTGCAGCACTTATAAATGCATAAACCAAAACCAAACTCATTGCCATGGAGTCAGTTCCAATTCATAGCAACCCCTCCTTGGGTCTCTGAGGTGTTATCTCTATGGAAGTAGATTGCCCAGTCTTCCTTTCGAGGATCAACTGGTGGGTTTGAACCACCAGCCTTCTGGTTAGCCATCAAATGCCTTAGGCACCACGCCACAAGAGCTCCTTATAAATGCATAGGTCAAACCTATATATATTCATGAGTGTAGTTCCATTTGCCTCCCCATCCCTGCTCCATTTGAGTGTCTATCTACATATCCACTTGCAGATTATTGTTATTACTGTTATTGCAGGATTTTGTACATAATAGTATTCACCTTTGTTGCCTTTAACTCTTGTGTTGAGCCAGATTTTTAACCTATCTAAGCCTCTGGTTCCTTCTCCATGGTGGGGATCCTAACACCCCCACTTTGTGAGCAAGATTAAGATGGTCCCTGCAAAGTACTGAAAGCAGTGTGTGGCAACCACTCTGCAAGAGTGCAGTTTTTGTCCTGGAGATGCTCACTATCTGGGGTGTGAGTGGATGGGGCTGGGCTGTTGGAGACAGAGGAGCAGAGGATAGTGTCCAAACCTGTAGTTGGAGGTGTTAAGGTGGATCAAAGCCCTGTGCAGAGATGGGGTGGGCTTCCTTTCAGCAGCAGGAGCATGGGGTGACCCACAGGCTCTGAAACTATGCACCCCACCCCCTGCAGGGCTTCTATAACCAGGTAGCCAACCCCCTGCTGGTGGATGTGGAAATGCAGTACCCCCAGGAAGACGTGGTGGCCCTGACCCAGCACCATCATAAACAGTACTACGAAGGCTCAGAGATCATTGTGGCTGGGCATATTGCTGACCAGAAGCTGAGCAACTTCAAGGCTAATGTGCGGGCCCATGGGGTAAGTAGGTGGCTGTGGAAGATGGAGAGGCCAGTGGCCCCCAGAAGCTCCAACCCCACACTATCCCTTCGTCAGCCCACCTCCAGGGGCTGCTGGTTCCCCAGAGCAGTGCCCTACTTGCACATCACAATCCCCATCAGGCCTAAACTCCTATCCACACAGGCATCTTGGGGGCTGGACCGGGTGGAATGGGGCTAACATGACCTCAATTAATTGAATTCCCTTGTCTCAAAATGGACTGCTCATTACTCCTCATTTCAATCTCCCAAAGGAGACATTTCCTGGACACCTACTGTGTGTGGGGCTCTGTGCCAGGGTGCAGCTCATGTGTGTGTCACAAGTGTGAGAGACCTGGACTTGTCCCTTCAAGGCATGGGCTGGAGCACCACAGTGTGGTGGAAGGTTCAGACATGGGCTTTGAGTGAGGAGAGCTGAGATGGATCACAGCTCTGCCCTAAGCAGCTATGTGACCTGGGGTTCTAGCTTCCAGGCCTCAGTTTAGTGTTCTGTACCTTGGGGGTCAATTCTGCACTGGAATGTTCTGTATAGTAAATCCATTCCACACATGTATGTGGTGCTGGTGCATAGGAAGCTCTTGAGAAAGGGTGGCCACCACTATTGTAGCTGGGGAGAAAAGGCACATTGGTCGTGTCACAACAAGTTGAACGCTGCAGCCCACTCAGGGTATGGTGGGCATTTGGAGGCACCAGTTGTGATGGAAACAACCTGGCAGTTGAGTGCTTGTTGGTCTCCTGTAGAGAAGGTAAATTCCATGAGGGCAGGGCCTGGTCTGTCCATCCCACTGTATACTCAGAGTCTAGGTCAAGCCTGGCTTATAGAATATGACCAGCAAGTATTTGTAGAATGAATGAATGAGACTGAGGAGGAGGAGAACAGACTCAGGAAATGGAGAGGAACTGAGAATGAAGCTGCAGAGACGGGATGATAGAGGGGTCCCTCAGAACCTTGAGCACCATCAAGGGGCCTTGCCCTCTCTCTCCTCATCTCCACCCTCAGGAGGGCCAAGAATTTCAGACAACCTGCCTGGTGGATGAGGAAGAGATGAAGAAGCTGCTTCATGAGCGAGGCCATATGCTGGAGAACCATGTTGAGCGCCTCTGGGCCTACCTTACCATTCAGGAGCTGCTGGCCAAGCGGTATGACCCTGTGACTAGCTGGGGTGGGCACTGTCCCCTCATAGCTTCTTCTCCCTCCATCCTGGCCTGGGCCTTTGGCGAACAAAGAAGGAATGGTTCTGGGTCTTCAAGATTGCCAGCAGGTCAGATTTGCTTTTTTCCTTCAGCTTTGCTCACTAAGTTAATATCAACCCACTGGTCAATAATGTAGGCGGGACCCACTGGGGGCACAGAGCAGGCCTGTTGTTTGCCCACACTGAGCCAATGCTGTGTCTAGACACACTTGTCACGCACTCCTTTAATCCTCACAGTGTTCTAGGGAAAACTCTCATTATCCCCACTAAACAGACAAACAAATTGAGGCTCCAGAGGTTAGACTACTTGCCCCAGGTCTCACAGCTATTAAATTCTCTGCTAATCTCTGAGGCATCCTCCTCAAAATCCTGCTTTCTTATTCTTTCTGTGGGAGGTCATTAGACCATGAAGACTCTAAGGCACTGTGGATGCTTAAGACATATTTACTGAATGAATGGATGAGTGAATGAATGAGTGAGTAAAAGGGCCATGGAGTACAAGTCCATCATCATCCAAGCCATGGGGCTTAGAGCTGGTATCTATCCTTAGGATGAAGGTGGAGGGGGAGGAGAAGGCCAACTTGTCAGCCCAGGCCCTGAAGATGTCACTGGCCTATCAGTTCGTGACCCCGCTGACTTCCATGACCATCAGTGGCATGGCTGACCAGGATGGCCTGGGGCCCACCATTGACAAGCCCGAAGAAGGTATAAGCACTGCGGGTCTGCATTGGGGGAGGCTACGGGCCGTAGGGAGACTTCTGAGGGCCTACAACCTCCTGGGCCTCAATTCTCTTCCCTTTTTCTCCCTTCCAGATGACTTTCCCTCAGGTGAGTTTTAAATCTTCTGGATCCTATCCAGGGCCTTTTGGTGGCCTGTGCTCAGCTTCACAGCAAGGGGCTTGCCTCTCCCACATCTTTCCTGCCTCCACTCCTTCCTCCAGCCTCTTTCTTCCCCTGCAATGCTCTTTCCCTCTTTGCTGCCTCCTTGTGCTTCTTGAGCCTATGTACAGCCTGAAAACCCCTGCCAGCATCCACCAGTCCCCTCCATGTTTGTGCATATCTGTGAGGAGAGCCAGGGGTACCTGGGGGAGGGCTGGGATCCCCAGGGAGGCCTGACTCACCTCTGGACCCAGAATGCATGCTTATAGAATGAGGTGTGTTTCATGTGGGCACAGTGGGGGACACAGACCTCAATTTTGTTGTCTTCCACAGAGTTGGTGGGACCTAAAAGGAGTAAGTGCTGGTCATCCTGAAAACTCATCTCTCTACCTCTCTCCACTCCACAAGCTCCTGTCCCTCAGGTCGAGCATTCAGTCCTGACCAAAGCCCCAGGTCATCATCCCGTTTGCTTGATGAGGAAATGAAGGCCCAAGGCCTCTTTTCTCTGTTCCAGTTCTCCTCACTGCCTCTCATGGAAATCCTCAGATGGATTCCCTGAGGTGGACCTGGCTGCCCCACCCTCATGTACCCCCCTCCTATAGCCCCAGGGGAGGAGACAGAGAGGGGGCCAGCCCACCTCTGTTTGCACATCCTGAGAGGCAATCGAGGGCGTGTGATGATGCTCTGTGCGCACACTTGCTCCGTGGGCCTTGGGCCAGCCCACCCAGGTGGGAGGGAGCATCAGACAAGAGACCAGCAGCTCCAGGGGAGGCCCCACCACCTTCCTTCTAAATGCCACTCTCTCACCTGCCAGTGTACAGGCTGTCTGCTTTGCAGCCTTCTCCTACTCACTTCAGCCCCATTGGCCAGCAATTGCCAGACCAAGTGACTGGTGGTAAGTTCTTGGGAGGGTCTGAGGGATGCCCACTCGCCTGGTACCCACCTAGCCTGGTTGTCTTTCTCCCTGGGACCTGCCTAGTTGAATCTTTGTCCTAATGGAATCCATGCTGTGCCCCCAGTGGACACTGACCCCCACTTCATCATCCACGTGCCCCAGAAAGAGGACACCCTGTGCTTCAACATTAACGAAGAGCCTGGTGTGGTCTTGAACCTGGTGCAAGACCCCGATACAGGTACAGGTGGACATTATGCCCTCTGCCAGACATGGACCGTGGTGGGACCAGGGCTCCTCTGCCTTTGACATTCAGCCATGGACAGGATAATGGTCACGGCCTCCAATCCCCACCATCCTGTGTGCTCTACCTTTCTGAACTTGACTTGCCTTCTCTCCCCACCCACTTGACTGAGCCCTACACAGGGCTGATCTCATGGCCATGTGACCTGAGCAGGCACTGAGGGCCCCATGCTCAGAAGGACCATGTGCTTGGTTTAATGCTCTTCTGTTGCCGTCTTGTCCCTGGGTAGTACAAACAGTTAACATATTTGGCTGCTAACCAGAAGGTTGGAGGTTTGAGCCCATCCAGATGTGCCTCAGAAGAAATGCCTGGCAATCTACTTCTGAAAAATTAGCCATTGAAAACCCTATGGAGCACAGATCTGCTCTGACACACGTGGGGTTGCCATGACTCAGAATTGACTCCATGGCAACTGATACTGGTGGTTGCTGTCTTGAAGTTCTTAACAATTTTTCAACAAGATGCTCCTGACATTCATTTTACATGAGTCCCACAAATGATATAGCTGGTCTTGCCCCACTTTTCCCCACAAGATGGTATAGCAGGGAGCCCGAGTCCATCTTTCCCATCAGTGCCTCTGACAATGGGGAATTACCCCGTCTGCATCACTTGGGCGCTCTCCCTCCTTCATACTCCCTCCCAGTCCAGTTAGTCCATCTGCAAATGTTTTTTGAGCACCTATGGGGCTAGGGATGCAGTGGGGACTGAGACACAGTCTCTGCTCTCACGGAGTTTAGAGAAGGCAGACAGGCAAGTAGGTGAACACATTCATAAATGATCATTTCAGAGTGAAACTTGCTGTGCTGGGACAGTGGAGGTGGGGAGAAGGCTTCTTTGGTTGCTCAGGTCAAGAGATAACCTCTTTGAAGGGTCCCTACAAACACATTTCTAGCTCTTGCTGTGTACCTACCTCTGTGTCAGGGGCTGGAGTCACAGAGAAGAACAGCACAAGTCCTGTTTTGGGGAGACAAGATTTCCTAGAGACCAGAACCAGGGTCAAGTATTGGATATTTAGTGTGGTTGAGGGGCGAGGAGGAAGACAAGAGGCAAGGGAGGCAGTACTGTGGGCCAAAGGGAGGCGAAGCCCTCGGAGACAGACAGGAGTGGCATGATGGAGCATGGGGTGTCTCTCAGGAAGGAGACATGATGTGCACAAAGGCAAGCTGGGCAGGGGTCTGGTAGGAGCATCCCTTGACCTGATGGCCTCTCACCCCACTGCAGGTTTCTCAGTGAACGGGCAGCTCATTGGCAGTGAGGCTCCATATGAAGGCACATATATTGGGAGGCTGGGGATCACCAACCCAGCAACAGGCTTTCAGCTGGAAGTGACTCCTCAGAACATTACTCTGAACCCTGGCTCAGGCGGGCCCATGTTCTCCTGGAGCGACCAGGCTGTGATGCGGCAGGACGAGTAACAGGGCGGGGCTGGGGCTTGGGAGGGGAAGCAGGGGTAGGTATGGTGTGAGGTGTATATGAGCCAGTGTGCTCAAGTCCTGAAGCTCCCAGAGCCAGCTCTGTGGCCAAGCCTGCAGGGCCCTCATTCCCCAAGTTGTGTCACCAGGTGACACCCATGTTGTCCTGGGCAGATGCGTCAGACCCTGTGAACCACTCCACTTCTCATTTCTCTCAGTTCCTGGATATGAGCTTGGGGCTCAGCTACCTGGATGCCTCTGCTCCCATCATGCCCTCACCCTTCAGTCTAACCTCATTCCCACCAAACAAAGTCAACTCATCCTCCCAGGCTCAGTGCAGAGGCCACCACTTCCCTGAAGCCCTCCTAGTTCCTTCCTCTGCTGAACTACAGAGTTCTGTGGACTTCCCCTTTGAAGCCTGTCTTAGTTTGTCTTATGTTTGTTCCTTCATTCACTCATTCATTTATTCATTCAACAAACTCTACCGAACACCAGAGCCTGATGCTGGGCAGTAGAACTGTAGAAAGAGGACAGCAGAGTCTGGTGGGGAAGACACAAGTGACAAGAGGAGGCAGAGAACATAAACTCTAATATTAGATAGGCTGGAGCCCAAGTCCTGGCTCCACTGTTTATAAGCTGTGTGACCTTTGGGAGGTTATTTAACCTCTCTGAGTCATGTTGTTGTTGTTATGTGCCATCAAGTTGGACCCAACTCATAGTAATCCCTCCTTGGGCTTCTGAGGCAGTATCACTATGGGAGTAGATTGCCCAACCTTCCTTCTGAGGAGTGATAGTGAGAATTTAATGATGTATGGAAGGCCTGGTAAGTTATAAGGGCCCTATGCCCAATAGCAACATGTGGGAGGAAGGATGGAGCAGGTAACACCCACCCTCTGCGTTTGGAAGTTGGGTGGGGTCATGAAAACATCCTTGTGGACAAGGGTGGCTAAATCAAGAGGCATGCAGCATGATTGCACCTGCCCTCATGGCCACCCTGGCCCTGCAGGGTGGTAGTGACCATCAACAAGAAGAGGAGCCTGGTAGTGTCCATGGGCGACAGGGGCACCTTCGAGGTTGTACTGCACCGAACGTGGAAGAGCAGTGCTGTCCACCATGACTTCCTGGGCTTCTACATGCTGGACAGTCACCGGATGTCAGCCCGGACACACGGGCTCCTGGGTATGGACAGCCAGGGGGACAGACCATGAGGTGGGGTGTTGAAGCCAGTGTCCTTATCTGGCCTCCAAATGGCCTCTAAGGCTCAGGGCTGCCAGTGACAGGTTTTCCTGGTGAGGGTTGTATCCCTTAGAAAGGCTGCAGTGGAACATGCCGTGAGATCGAAGCTTAAGTGAGCATGGGAGCAAGTGAGGAAAGGACCAATTAGCAAACAGAAAGGTCCGGACACCTTATGGGTGGGATGGATGATCAGCCACCTCTCCTGTGTGGCCTCCCTACAGACCCTACTCTCTGCTGGCAACTCCTCCTCAATCGAATTCCTGTGGAATTGGGTAAAAATAGCAGGAGTAGGGCCACTGGAAACATAGCTGCTTTTCTGTAGTGGATAAACTAAAGGTGGCTTTTTTTTTCCCCTTTCTTTTTTTTAAAAAAATTTTATTATGGTAGAAATATACATCACAAAACATATGACACCTCAATAATTTCTACATGTACAATTCCGTAACAGTAATTACATTCAAGCCGTGCAACCATTCTTGATATCCTTTCCCAAATCATTCCACCACCATTAATATAAACTTAATATCCCCTAAGCAAAACGCTGTCTTTCCCTCCTCCCTCCCACGTCTGGTAACCAATAATCTTTGGTTTCTATATCTTTGCTCATTTCATATAAGTGAGATCATACAGCATTTGTCTTATTGCAACTGACTTACTTCATGCAGCATGATGTTTCTAAGGTTCATCCACGTAGTGGCATTCATCAGGACTTCATTTCTCTTTATGGCTGTGTAGTACTCCATTATATGTATATCACATTATGTTTATCCATTCATCTGTTGCTCAACTAAAGGTAGCTTTTGATGCCAAAGTTGATCAGAAAATGTGTTTAAGCAATTCTCTAAACCTCTAGTGAGTACCTACTGTGTGCAAAGCAGGGGCAAGACCCCTAGATGGTAACCGCTGCCTCCAATGTGCCTTTCCAGGACAATTCTTCCACCCCTTTGATATCGAAGTGTCTGACATCCGTCCAGGCTCTGACTCAACAAAGCCAGATGCCACGATGGTGGTGAAGAACCGCCGGCTGACAGTGACCAGGTCGGTTGGCTGCTGTCCCAGCACTGCTGCTTTGGCAGCTCTGCATCCCCAACAATGGTCTGGGCCTTCTGAGCATCATTTGGGTGAAGGGAGGTGCTTCGTGAAAGAGGTGCAGCCCTTCCAGGCTCCAGGTGTACAGCTGACTCTTCTCTTCCCAGGGGCTTGCAAAGAGACTACAGCAAGGACCCCCGGCATGGGGCTGAAGTGACCTGCTGGTTCGTCCACAACAATGGTGCTGGGCTTATTGACGGCATCCACACAGACTATATCGTCCCTGACATCTTCTGAGCCTCACTCCCAGCACACCTGCCTCCCTGAGGCCTTGACAGATAAGGATACTGCCTAGGCCATACTTCCCTTTCCAAACTGGTGCCTCTTGCCAAAGCACCCCCGACTTCCATTAAAGAGAAGTTATATTCAGCTACAGAGTCCCTGAGTGGTTAATGCATTTACTTGCTAACCAAAAGGTTGGAGGTTTGAGTCTATCCAGAGACACCTTGGAAGAAAGGTCTGGTGAGCTACTTCCAAAAATTCAGCCATTGAAAACCCTATGGAGTACGTTTCTATTCTGACACTTGGGGTTGCCACAAGTCAGACTTGTGGTAGTGACTGGTATGTTCAGCCAGAGCTGGCTGCTTTTTCAGGGGGAGGATGGTAGGGAGGCAGCCTGAGAGGCTGCCCTTCAAAAGGGCTTAGGGCATGGGATCTAGAGCCCTGATTATAGCAGGTTCAGGACTGGGGAGAAGCAGGTCGGAAATCAGGAGGGACCCCACGCCAACTCTGCCCCCATCCCACTCTCAGCATGTTCTCTGCAGCTGCCTGGCCCCGTGCTCTTAGTGCTCTAAATGCCCCTGCACACAACTCTCCCCCTGCCCAGGGACCAATGGACGCTTCCAGCAGTATGGCAGGAGTGACCAGCAACAAACAGTCACAGCTAACCCAGGGCTTCCTGTGTACAGCCAGACAGGTTTCTAAGTATCTTCCTTGAATTAACTAAATTTATGCCCTCAATGGCCCCAGGGAATACTTTTATCATGCCCATTTACAATTGAGAAAATTGAGGCACAGAGAGGTTAGGTAAATTTGTCTGGAATTGCTCGGTCTGCAAGTGGAAGAGCTGGGAGATGGACTCATGCTGCCTAGTGTCAGTGTCTGTGTGCTCAACCACCCTCATATAATCACTCTAGTCAGGCTGGGAGGCTGATGAGCAATGGCTGGATTTGGTTCTGGATATTCCAAAACATTGCTTAAAATGAATATAAGAAAGAAGAAATATTTATACACAGACTTGGAGCCCTGAAGTCCTACCAGAACTGGAGGCAGCACCCACTGGGCTCAGGGCCTTAGGAGGTGGTTCTTGGCCTCCTCCTTCCTCAGCCTGGTTTCAACTTCTGATGGCAGAGCTGGTAGTTCCCAAAGGGAGAGAGAGCCTTAGGCCAGAAGCTGGGATTTCAGAGGGCTGGGAGTTCTGGTGGCACAGTGCCTAAGGCATTTGACTGCAGGCTGGTGGTCAAACCCACCAGCCACTCCTCAGAAGGAAGACTGGGCAATCTACTTCCGTAGAGATACAGCCTCAGAAACCCAATCAGGGGTCGCTATGAGTCGGAAATGACTCGACAGCAGTGAGCTTGGTTTTTTTGGTTTTAGTGTCTCTCCTTACCCTAGATTCATACTTCGTACATTCCATGTTCCAATGATTAATGGATGTCTGTGGCTGTTTCTCTTCAATTTGAGTGGTGCCACATCAGCAAATGAAGGTCTCGAAAGCTTTCTCTTTT